TGCAGAGAGCGCTTTGCAAAAGTGGAAAATCCACGTTTTTCCATTTAAATCTAAAGTCTGTTTTTCTCAGTTAAAAGAGAAAATCTGTGTTATTTTCCAATTTTCCATGGGAAATGGAAAACTTGGCTCCCTTCTAAGTAAGAAAAGCCTCCTTATTCACAAAGGTCGCTTAAATACATATTTAAATGGCACTGAAGTCTGTAGGATTAGTTTAGTGTTTTCCTAATTCAAAGTTTTAATTACTTGAGGCCCATTTTTGTCCACTGTTACTCATATTTAATAATGTTTCTACTGGAGTAGTTATGTTGAATGTTGATATTGGTAGTAGAATCTGATCCTTAATTCTTGTTTGAAAGCTATTGGAAGTTCAGAGAAGTGGAGAATAATAGTATTTAATTTTTGGATACCCAAGTTTAGGTTTTCTTATTGAAGAGTGTTAATTTCTGTTGTTCCATACTTCTGCTGCAGAGTTGTTCTGACATTAAATATTTTCAATAACAGATAACAAAAATGTTGGCCTCTCCTCTGCTGTCCCTTTTTTCTTCATTCTGCTTTCAAAAACAAAGTGCGTATCTTATTCAGGGGCAGGCTGTGTATGAGAAAATACAATAGTACAGTAGTTGGTTTAATACAATGCTGAGCACAATGCTGCTCTAAGCTGGCTATACTGTGTTGGGTTTTGAAGCAGACCCCAGCCCCTGTACCAGAAATAGTGCTGCTGGCTAAATGTAGCCAGCTTAGTGTGGTACTGTGCATATATCACACTAAGCCATGTACCTTAACAGTTCAGGAGGCGGTGTGCCTGAAGTTAATGTAGCATCTCTGTTAGTATTGCCTAGCAGGTTTAGTTCAGATTCCTGCAGAAAATTGGCGCAGTTAATATTTGAAAACAAGATGGTCTCTGGGTGAAATCCTGGCATCTCTTTTGCATATTTTAAATGGAAAGACCACTCATCAGTACTGTATCAGGTTGCACATGACCTTGAGAAACAAAAGATATTCTCAGGTGGACATCACTTGTAGGCGATGGATCAATTGTGTCAGACGTGCATTACAACAGTGCTGGTAGATCTTTTCAAGAACCCAGGAGCATAAATCTTTGAAAATCCTTGCACTACTGTGATATCTATGCTAAAAGAGGAAGCCGGGGTCATAGTTACCAATTAAACTTTAATGTGCATACTGTAACAATTACAAAGCACCAAATCGAGTTTGTGCTTGATGAGCCTTGCTATGATATTGAAACCTGGGGCATAATTTTTAAGAAGGCAGCTATTTGCAATGTATCAGCAGCATTTTATGGTGCTGTCCAAATTTTGAGGAAGTCTGGTGTTACTAGCACAAGGGTGTCATATATATGGGCCAGGGACCAGTCCCAGTTTAGCCCAGTCATTTGGCCCATGTGGCTGCTAAAGGGGTTGGGAATTTTGGGATGGGGCCTGCTTTCAAAGTCTATGGTATGGAGCCCCATTGGAGAT